CTGCACAAGAGATAGTTCGATGCTAGCGGATACTAACTTTTGTTTTCTGCAGAGACGCTTTGCTAGTGATCAGACCAGGAAAGCATACACAGCATTGAACGAGCAGTTCGATGCGTACACCGGGGTCATCTGGCAGCCCTATACGGAAGCAGCCACACAAGCGAGATACCCTGGTGGTATGTCCGTGCTATGCACAAGGGACCGAGATTACTGGATGACAAAATCAAAGATCATCTTTGATGTCTTCGTTGAGGAGATGGCACAACAGAGGGTTATGAGGCAATTTGGTCTTCTGCAGTTGGAGCTGCCTCCCCCTATAGAGAACCCGATGCCAGCACACATCCACAGGTATTAACCAGTTTTTCAATGTTGCATTATCTTTCATAGTACTCCATTCAAAGCTTTAGGTAATTGTTGAACACACACCACAATTTTAGGACGACAAGGAAGGGTGTGACTAGGACAACTGCTGAGTGGCTAGTAAGACTAGAGTCGTATGTTATAGAATGGGAGACAACAAACACAAATCTATGGCACAAGAATCACAATTTTGAACTCAATGAATTCAATCTCTATTTGCGGCGCTACATGAGCGGAACACGGTTACGCATCGTTGACCACTCTCACCCAGAGGAGATACCTGATCCTACTCCGTCGGATACGTACCCGAGCTATGATACTTCGGGCTCTAGGCAGTACGCGGTAAGATATATTTTCTTTAAGTAATGTTGTCACATACATTGGCGTGCATACTTAATAATCGTCCTGAAAATTTGCAGGCTACCTTGACAAACGAACTCTACAACGACGTGACCACCTTTGGACGATCACTGTCGTCAGGACCTCTTCTTCATCACCGTCCTGTCATACAACCCTTCTTGGAATGGATGCAGAACAAAATACGGGCTGTCTACGAGGCTATCACGTGCACCCGGAGAAGCGACGTTGTTCAGCACCAACCACAGCAGCCGCGTCCCTCCATGCACCGACATCAACCACGTCCACGTCTAGCACATCAGCCGACGACCAGGCCACCCCCTCCTGAACAACCTGGAAGTTCATCGTGGCAGCACCCACAGCACTATGGTCCCACGTCGAGCTTCATGTTTTCTCCACAGCCACAGCACCACGGTCCCTCGTCGAGCTTTGTGTTTGAGCCAGAGCAGCCGTCACAGCCAGCAGGTGTGTGTCTTCATATTTATTGTTTTCAATATTAGTTCAAGCGGCATCAGACTTCATGACTTATAGTTCCGTCGTGCAGGAGCCTATGGATATCATGCGTCTATGTCGGCATCACATGATACATGGGGGAGTGATCATCATCCCAAGGATCACATACAGGCTCCGATGTTGCAGCACACCCACTGGATGAACATGTTTTCGACTCCTCCACCAGGGCCCACACAGGATACACAGCATGACCAGGAAGAGTCTGAGATTGCTCCGCGTCCCATTAGGGCACCTGACAGATGGGGATGGACGCCGATTCCAGATCCGCCTCCCTGCCAGGCCAGACGTTGTCACTGACGCTTCTATCTATCAGTACAGACATTACCATCTATTTATGTGTGAGACTTATGTCTATTCTATGTATGAGACAAATGACTATGTACTTATGTATGAGACATATGCGTACTCTATTTTAGTACTATGTTATCTGAACTACAACATCATATTTAGATAGAACAGAATGCTCGTACAACAAGACAGTACAAACAACTACATAGAACTACATCTAAAGTAAACTGTACGTACGAGTGAACTTACAACATACAACATAAAACTACATGAAGTCATCATCGTCATCCTCCATCGATGCAGAACTCTTGCCCTTCGACGATAAAGAACTCTTGCCCTTCGACGATGAAGAAACCTTGCCCTTTGACGATGAAGAAACCTTGCCCTTCGACGATGCAGAAACCTTGCCCTTCGATGATGAAGAACTCTTGCCCTTCGAGTATGCAGAACCCGGAAGCGGCGGCATGAAGATATCATCTTTGTCCTCGCTCTCCTCAGTCCATAAACATGGATTATTTGCTGCAATCCTTCTGAAAGTTTCACTCTTCGGCACACTACCTTCTCCCACCTTTCATGCAACCTAAGAAGTTCTTTACGTACCTCCTCATAGGTCCTTTCAGGCCACCCAGACCTACGTAATTGGTGAGCCAACTCATTCATTATGGTGTCACTACCGGTGGGTTCGTCCCATGGAACTATCCTATTGTCCATCCTGAAATCGGTAGCTAGGCTCAGAAGAGTCCTGCTCATCCCAGGGTGAAAACTACGATCGAAAGGATAATGGGACATCTCAACTACACTACACTGGAATGCTTATCCAACTCCGTCTGAAGGGGGTTTTATAGGTGGCGGGAAAGAGTTGGCGGGAACAAATGGCGGGAAACGGGTGGCGGGACAAAGTTGGCGGGAACATATGGCGGGAAACGCGTGGCGGGAACATATGGCGGGAAAGAGTTGGCGGAACATATGGCGGGAAACGGGTGGCGGAAACATACGGCCGGAAAGCGTTGGCGGGCAAACATATGGCGGGAAAAAAGGGTTGCGCGAAAAGACATCATAGTTATGAAAAACAAATCTGTAATATTGTACAGGGCAAAAAAAATGTAATATGCATGCACCAGTCGGCCCACAGTAGACCAATTAGTTCCAGTCGGCCCACAGCAGGCTGACTGGACCCTGTCGGCCAACAGTTGGCCGACTGGACTTGAGCTGGCGGCCGACAGGCCACTCGGCCAGCAGCAGGCTGATAGGACGCCAGTCGGCCTGCTGTGGGCCGACTAGATCCAGTCGGCCTACTGTGGGCCGACGGTGTATTATTTTTGAAAATAAATTTTTGGGCATAATATTTTTGTAAATTAATAAAAAAAATGTATTATTTGAAAAAAAATTAGCTATCTTTTTTAGCATGGTGTGTTTTGTTATTTTTGAAGAAATGCTCTCATGCTTCACTTAGATTTATTTGCGAGTTAGTAAAATTTTCAGAAATTCTTTCTTGCTTCACTTAGATTATTTTGAGAGAAAGAAAAATTATGCTCATGTTCTTCACTTATATTTGTTTGAGCTTATCAAAAGCAACATATGAAAATAGTTTCAAAGTGATAGATATCCAAGGAGGATATAATAAAAAAAGATCATTGGACAAAATAAACTTGATTCTTAGTAATGATTTTGAGATATGACGATATGATATGTGAGTCATGTTGATCAGTAATTGTGCTTTAGTAAGAATATTGATGTTAAGATTTGTGATTCCCTATGCAAGCACGGAAGTCAATAATTATGCAATGAAATTTATATCCTACTTGTGGTGCATTATTTGGTGTTACTTATGCCTAATGCTTGGGTACGGGATTTTTTGCTTTTTGGTTGATCGTTTCTCAATCTTTTTGCTAGCCTTCATTTTGCACTAAGTATGATCACTACTTGTGCATCCAAAATCTTTTAAACCAGTTTTATCATGTGAGTCCACTATATCTACCTATATGCGGTATTTCCATGCCATTTTAAGAAAATTTGCATATGTCATCTCTAATTTTCAAAATAAATTTCTCTTTTATGTGCTCTACCGTTCGCAAGGCGGCGATCGGACACGTCACGGACGGACACGGGGCGGTTGACACTCTAGGCCGGCGTGCCCCTTCAATGCCCAGCATATTGCACTCTGCACCGAATGTGGCATGGGACGGTTGGCAGGAGAGGAACGTGTCCGAGCGGGAGGGGGTTTGACTGGGACCGCTTGTGGACATGTACATGGTGACGGTCTGGACTCCCGTAATATCCCCTTCAGTTTTGCGTCGGATTTATGGAAAAACGGACGGGTGCTCCAGTTTGCGTCCGATTTAGGGAATAATGGTCGTGCGGAGGGCTGATGCGGTATCATGTTGAAAGACAAATTACTTTAGGACGGTTCGGTCTCCGGACGTTTGCGAGATATGTGAGGGTGCGCGTTAAAGATGCCCTAAATAAGTTTTTTAAGGGTCAGTGGGCGGATTAAGTTTGAGGAAGAGTCATTTTTTGCAAATAATACCCGTAATGTGCGTCGACCTGGGCTTTGAATTTTCCTGCCTGCATGCGTCTCAGATACTGCTAGCGGGGCGAGTCAGTCCGGCGCTGTTTTAGCCCTTCCTGCAATCCGACATGGCCGGCGTAATAGTGGGATTAGCCTCTCTCCTTTGCAGCTTTGCTACTAGTAACTGTCAGCGTTGTCATGTCTCCATTCACCTATAACCCTGCGTCCCATTTACCAATTTGACTGTCGAACTGTAGTTGCTGTACTCCCAAACAGTAAAGCTGTTCTCGCTGGATGTTGCCCTAGGCATCATCTGAGCCGTCCGATGCGAAGCTGCTTTTTACAATTCTGCCTTTATGACGAAATGTTCGAATTACAATCCGATAGCAAAGATGCTATTAGGAAACCATGTATTACATCAAAGCATTGAGGTCCTCTTCGGAATCTCCGTAGCCTGCTCTGCTTCGGGAGTGCAGTCAAGGGAGCGGAGAGGAACCGTCAGAGAGAAATACATTTATACATCAACACCCCTGCTTCGAACAATACATTTATACATCAACACCCTTCATGTAGCTTCCTCAAGTCTAAACGTGAATTGAAAGTGGGCTGCAATTTAACTGCGCCAGCCGAGTCTTGAACTCAAGACCTCTTGGCTTCGATACCATGTAAAACTGCACGCACCAGCCAGTTCACCCACAAGCTTAAGCTGGTGAGGTGCCTAATCTCTTCTGTCAGATCGGTCTTTTGATTGCATTGGCTAGAGCATCATCTTTGTTTTATGTTGCTTGTGTGCGTTGCGTTTCTTTGCTACAAGTAATGTATGCCTATGGTTTATACATCTTCTAAAAAAAAATCTAAATGTCACCTCCGAGACGCACTCCATCGAAGAAGGAAAATTCAAAAAAAAATCTGAAGATACCGTCCCCTTGAAGCACAGTACTGAAAGCAATGGCTGCACTGGTCGCTGAAAGCAATGATCCAGATTTTAGATTATTTTTGGTCAGTTATCCCCCACGCTACCTTCCCCTCAAATCCACGGCGTCACGTTACTGCCGGGAGAGAAAACGCCGGCGGCATGGACGCCGATCGCCGTGGGGGCTTAAGGACGCCGATATTAGCGGACGATGAGGTACGTAGAAGCTTGTAACTATAGTAGTTAGCTGCAGTATCGATCGGATCGAGGTCAGGAGGCTTGCGCGCTGTTCCGGGAGGCCCGATTCGGGGCCGTGGGCGCCGGCGCGCCCTGCAACTGCAAGTCTGCAACCTCGAGCCACCCTGAGCCGTCGGTGTGGCCTGCCACGCTCGACGATTCCTGTGCGCACCAAAGCAATACCGGTAACTGCTGCTAAAACATGTAATCGCGTGTAAATTATGAGCTTTCAATTGTTATGCCAGGCCCAGGCGTCTGGTTCGGAAGCTCGGGAGCATGAGGTGCACATGGCGGCCGGTCACTGCTCTGATAAGGCGCTCAAAGTCATCTTGTGTGAGTGTCTAGACAAGTGAATTGGCATAAGCCGTCAGTTCTATATATGCAGTAGTTCCCAACGTAGAACTAATTCCAGGCCAGTAATTGTTGGATTTATTTTGGTCTGATTATGAGTACTGATATTGAAGATGGACCTGAATCAGCTAACAAAATTCATGTTGATGTGTGCCAGGCCTGCAGTTCCTGGAGGTCAGTGCTTTCTACGGGGTCTACCTGAACTTGATAGTGTATCTTCAGGATGTTCTCCATGGAGACAGTGCATCCAATGTGACGGCCGTGAATTCTTGGGCTGGGGTCAGCTACCTCATGCCCCTGCTCGGCGCCGCCGTCGCCGACTCCTACTGGGGAAAACACAAGACCGTTTTGATCGGCCTCTGCATTTCTCTCGTCGTAAGTGATCCTCTGCATTAGCACCGGCCGGCACGGCAACCCTGCTTCTCTGACGAACAACCCAAAATTAACAGGGGATGGCCATGGTCACCACGTCAGCTACGCTGCCGTCTCTGAGGCCGCCCCCTTGCTCGCCGGGCGCGTACTGCGCACCGGCGACGCTCAGCCAAGAGCTAGTCTTCTTTTCGGGCATATACCTGTGCGGCGTCGGGATCGGCGCGTCCAAGGCAGTCTTCATCTCGTTTGCCGCGGAGCAGTTCGACGACGACGATGACAAGAACACGTCGGGAGGGGAGGCGAAGGCGTCCTACTTCAGCTGGTACTACGCGGTGGCCAACGTGGCCATGCTGACCGCGGGGACACTGCTGGTTTGGGTCGAGGACAAGGTGAGCTGGGGGCTCGGGTACGGCATCTGCGCGTCGTTCGTCGCGGTCGCCGTCGTCGGCCTCGCCGCGACGGCGCCCATGTACCGGATCGTGCCTCCGGCGGGCAGCCCGATGAAAGGCGTGCTCCAAGTGCTGGTGGCGTTCTCTCGCAAGGTAAACCTGACGGTGCCTGAGGACGCCACAGAACTGTACGAGGAGGATGGTGTCAAGAACCCGTTGCTGCATCCGCTGCACGAACGATTGCAGCACACGGAACAGTTCAGGTAGATCCTATGAGGCATGAAAGTGTTGGTTTTATTCAGAGTTGCAGACTAAATGCTCTGCGAGTGTCCGTCCACCAGGTGCTTGGACAAGGCTGCCATTGTCACGGCCGAGGACTTGGAAGACGGCGGCCTGAACCGGCCATGGAGGCTGTGCACGGTGACCCAGGTGGAGGAGCTCAAGACTCTGCTGCGGCTGATCCCGATATGGCTCACCTCGGCCGTCTACTTCGTCGCCAACACGCAGGCGCAGACCACGTTCGTGCAGCAGGGCACCAAGACGGACTCCCACATCGCGGGCGGCGCCGCGTCCGTCCCGGCCGCGTCGCTGACGTCCATTGAGACGGTGCTCGTCGCCGCCTACGTCACGCTCTACAACAGGGCCGTCGTGCCATCCGTGGCGTTCACGCCGCTCCAGCTCATGGGGCTCGGGCACGCCACGGCGGCCGGGGCGGTGGCCGTGGCCGCGTGCACCGAGGCGCGCAGGCTGCGGATGGCCGGGGGCCAGGAGGCGGCCCAAATGGGCATAGCGTGGCTGCTGCCGCAGTACGCCGTGATGGCGGTCTCGGACGCGTCGCTCTCCGTGGGGCAGATGCAGTTCTTCTACGACCAGTCGCCGGAGACGATGAGGGGCGCGTCGACGGCGTTCTACTTCCTGTCCATCTCCCTCGGGAATCTGATCAATTCGCAGCTGGTGACGCTGGTGGCGTCCGTCACGTCGGCAGGGGGGAGGACGGGGTGGTTTCCACCGGAATTGGATGATGGGCACCTAGATTACTACTTCGTGCTCGTTGTCGCCATCACTTTGCTGAACTTTGCCGTTTTTGTTGCCCTTGCCAAGAACTACACGTCCAAGAGAGTTAGATAGTTGGATTCCAAACAAGGAAGAACATAATAATACTACTTATGTAGAGCCAGTGAATTATGATGCTAGTCAGGAGTCTCTAGACTCCCTTGCACCAGATTGGGGGTGGCAACTGGGGAGGGTGAAGAGGTGAAAGAGTTAGACAGCAATGTGGATGAGAATTTAAGGAGATGTGGCAGATTGGTAGACAAGCAAGATGCCAGAATTGAAGAACTGGCTAAACAGAGAGATGCTGATAAATATAACTATAGTAAGAATTCTGATTTAGATACTCACAACTCATCTTTACTGTTTATGGTAGAGAAAATTGGCATTGATTTGCGGTGATCCATTGGCATGATTAACCAAAATATAGAAATCATTGCTAAAATGGAACAGTTTAGAAAAGATTTTTTTCAAACTCACATTATTCAGAAAAATGATTTCCTAGAAACAAAAGAGAGTAATCTCATTGACACTGGTGATGTGAGTATTAGAGAATTATGCTCTGATGATGACCGTTCAGATGCTGAGTTGGAGATGGATTATTTTTCTCATCTTAAGAATATTTTTACTAGTGGTAAACAGGGCAGTAATGGCTCACCAGGTCTTACTTGTGTGAAGCCTGTTGTCTCTATTGGGGGAACTAAATATAGAGGGAAAAGAATAAAGAAATGATAGGGATAGTTTGGAATGTGAGGGGGTTGGGCCCTGATATCAAGAGAAATTTTATCAGAGAAACTATATGCAATAAAAAATTAGACTTTATAGGGCTTCAAGAAACTATTAAAACTGATTTTACTAGAAATGAACTGCACAATTTGTGTGGAGGGAAAAAATTAGTTGAATTGATCTCAACCAAGAGGTAGAGCTCGGGGGATTTTAGTGGGTATCAATAATGATAGTTTTGACATTGTCAATGTTGAGATTGGCATCTACTATATTAGAACTTTACTTTTTGATAAGAAAGGAAAATTTGAATGGAATCTCATCATTGTTTATGGAGATGCCCAAAATGCAGGCAAAGATGCTTACTTAGCAGAATTGTCCAGGGTTTACCAAGATAATGTTGTTGTCCCATGTGTGATGGGAGATGACTTTAATATCATCAGGAATAGCTCTGAAAAGAACAAGCCCATTGGAGATGCCACTGGAACTTTGTTTTTAATTCCATTATTGAGCAGGCAGGATTGAGAGACTTGCCTTTAAATGGGAGAATTTTAATATGCCCAGATTGGGAAGAACAATATCCTTTGGCTGAAGTGCATGCTTTAGAAAGCGAACTTTCTGATCATACACCTCTGGTCTTAGATACCCGAAGTAAGAGTAACTTCACTCCAATTTTGGATTTCAAAATTCCTAGATGTTGAGGAAAGGTTTTAGAGATTTTGTTCATAAAATTTGGTCTGCACATTATTCTGGCAATACTATTGAATAATGGTAGAGGAGGATGAAGATATTTAGACAAAAAGTGAGATGATGGATCTTGAATTCTGATGCCCGGTATAGAAAAGTGAAGAAATAAATCTTAACAAAATTAGACAATATTGATAAGAATGCTGAAAATTTTGGGTTGTGTACTCATGATAGAAAGGAACAGAAGGAGCTCAGAGCTCAATTACACAGATTACTTAAACAAGAGGAATTGAAGTGGCTTTAGAGGTATAAAGATAGAGAGATTAAAGATGGGGATTGTAACACTAAATATTACCACGATAATGCTAATGGCAGAAGAAGGAAAAAGTTTCTCTCTCTCCATCAAGATGAAGGAGTGATTGAGAGGGAGGAGTACCTAATTAAATATATCACAAATTTCTATAAAAATCTCTTTGGTCAGCCTGATTCATCCACAATTAATCTGAATATTCAGAATGCACCTGGGTTTACCAGAGAACAAGCTGCCCTATTGATAAAACATTTTTCGATGGAGGAATTGCATTTTTGTGGTGTTTAATATAGAAAAGAACAGAAGTCCAAGCCGTGATGGGTTGCTTGTAGACTTTTATCAACACTTTTGGGAGTTGGTAAAGTGGGACCTCATGAAATTACTAAATGATTTCCATGCTGCGAAATTAAATATATCAAGACTCAATTATGGTATTATCACTTTAGTGCCAAAAGTACCTAATGCTAAGCAAATTCAAAAATGCAGACCAATCTGCCTTCTCAGTGTTAGTTTTAAGATCATTACATAAGTTCTGATGAATAGGTTAAGCAAAGTGATTAAGCCCATCATTTCCCCTACACAAATTGCCTTTATCAAATGGAGGTATATTATGGAAGGGGTTGTAGTATTGCATGAGGCTTTGAACACTATCCATCATAAAAAACAGAGTGCAATTCTGTTTAAGGTGGATTTTGAGAAAGCTTATGACAAAATAAAATGGCCATTTGTCTACAAAATGCCGAAAATAAAACAATTTCCTGATAAATGGTGTGATTTAGGGCCCGTTCGGAAGTGCTCTAGCTTCCAAAAATCGTTGGCTCCAGCTTCTCATCGAGCGAGCCAACTTCTCGAAGGAGGAGCGATCCGTTCGGCTCGCTCGCTGCGGCTCCTATCGCAAGGCATGGGCTGGTAGCCCAGGAAACTAGGCTAAAGCCTGCTCGGTCATGCAGTGGGCCATGTTTGAAGGCCCAGTTCGGTGGGGAAGTGCAGGCCAGATTTTGGACAGGACATGTTTATTTTTCTGCTTTGTTTGCTGTGATTTATCATGTACAAAGAGCTGTTCTTAGCACTTTATGATAGTACAAGTGCAAGAACTATACAAAACATTCAATTTTTCTAAATTCACCAGATGTTAGAACTGTACCAAAAAATTAGCGTGCCTCTCACAAGCAATCAGCAGCAAGAACATGTACTACCAACATAATAAAATTATTAATCTGACTAGAACTGTACAAACCAATTCATATAGTAGCAGCAAGAAGTGTACCATCTCAAACTATTGGGGATGGCCGCATACAGTAGGCACAAATTCAGGCTGAAATAGAGTGATACAAGAGGGGGAGGGGCTACTCAATGAGCTGGGGGAACAGCTTCTCTGACGTGGATCTTGCTGCAGGCTCCTCCAGGAGTAGTTCGTAGCACTACAGACTGCACTACAGACTGCAGGGAAATTCTCGACTTGATCTGAAATCAATTCATAGCACTACAGACTGCACTACACATATATACGAAAAAGGTGCATACATCAGTTTCATATCACAAGAAATTGGGGCTACAGACAGAACACGAACTAGGCTGAATCAGAGTACTACAAGAGGGGGGAGGTGGCTGCTCACCTTGAGCTGGGGGGACGGCTTCTCTGCCGTGGATCTTGCGGCCAGGCCCGTCCAGGAGCTCTACTTCGTGCGGCTGCCGGCGGCGTCCAACGGAGGAAGTGGCGGCAGATGGGGAGACGATAGCACGGGGACGTTGGGCGGCTGCTGCGAGTGGCGATGGATGGAGACTTGCGGGGCGATGCGTAGATCCGAGTGGCGGCGGCGGACGGCGGCGCGACGGCGCGGAGGCGCTCCGGTGACGGGGCGACGGCTAGGGTTGCAAGAGCAGAGGAGGAGCGTGGGCGTTCGTTTCTGTATGAGCAGAGGAGTCGGGCCACCAGGTCGAGGGAAACGATTCGACTTGGTATACTTCGCGGTGGCATTAGCACCATAATTTGAGCAACTCCTGATTCTGCTTTTTGCGAAGCTGCGCCAGCCAGCTTCTCGTCTCCGCGATAATTGCACTACCGAATACTCATCTCCGCGGAGCCAGCTTCTCGAAGCGGAGCCGTTCGGTGCGGCTTCTCAGAGCAATTTTTGAAAGCCAGCTCGTGGACTGCTTTCGAATGGGCCCTTAGTAATGCACACTACGATTGGGGGGGGCATGTAGGGATCAAGGTGAATGACACTATTGGACCTTATTCTAAAACTCACAAGGGAATGAGGTAGGGGGATGACATATGTCCCCTTTGCTATTTGCTTTAGCTGCTGATGCTCTGGCTATAATCTTAGATAAAGCCAAGGAAGGGTATGTCAAAGGGGTGATGCCTGAGTTTGGGAATAATGGTGTGAATATTGTACAATATGTTGATGGCGCCATTTTTCTGATTCAGGATGATGAGGGAAGTGCTAGAAATTTAAAATTCATCCTCACGGCTTTTGAACAAATGTCAGGATTGACTATTACTTTTGATAAAAGTGAAGTGTTTTTGTTTGGTGAGGCTAGGGAAAAAGCTGACATATACCAGGAAATCTTCACTTGTAAGCTGGGGGAGGTACCTTTGAAATATCTTGGTTTACCTGTCTCTGATGTGAGATTAGGAAACAAGTTTTGGAAGGTGGTCACTGAAAAAATTGGAAAAAAGTGTGCATGTTGGCAAGGAAGGCTATTGAATATGGCAGGTAGAGTGACCTTGGTCCTGTCCTGTCTATCCAGTATACCAATGTATATGATGTCTTTCTACCCTTTGCCAGTGGGGATTAGGAAAAAAATTGATTTTTTTAGAGTCAGATTGGTGTTGCGGGAAAATGAGGACAAAAAGAAATACCACTTAGTTAATTAGAAAAGCTACCGCCTTCCTAAAAATTTGGGAGGTTTTGGGATCTTAAATCTAGATTTTATGAATAAAGCTTTGTTTGCTAAATGGTTCTAGAAGCTAGAGACCGAGGAAGGAATTTGGATTGGTATACTTCTTAATAAATATGTTAAAGGAAAATACATCTCTATGATTAAAAAAACCTGGAGACTACCAGTTTTGGGGTAGTATTTTGCAAGTCCAAGACTTGTTTTACCAACATGTTAAAAAATCATTGGGTGATGACAGTAACACTAGGTTTTGGGAAGATTGGTGGGTGGGTCCAAGCCTCTAAAAGAGGCTTACCCTAGTTTATACAATATTAGCTTTGACCACAAGATTTTTGTGGCAAAGGCAATTGATATGCGATGGAATAATTTCACTTTTAGAAGGGCTTTAAATGGAGATAAAAAAATTGCTTTGGTCTAGCATTAAGATGAGATGTGAAGAGGTTAGGATGTATGGGGG